GACTATGGGAAGATGGGAAATTGCACGAGGAGCCCTCTCTGTTCCGCATCGAGTGTTAAACAAACACTTAGCATCGTTAATAACATAGGACAACGGTCCACGAGCTAATAAATTTGTCCAACCAATATAAAACTATCGAGAACTCTTGAGAATTGATAAATATGCGTATCCTACGTAAACGGATAAACCACTTTCGAAATGGGTAAATATATTTGTGGTAAATAACCCCGCTTTCTTTAGCGTTTCAACGAAAGGGACATATTAGGAGAAATCAATTTGTCGAGTTGCTTTCGAGTAGCTTGGATATATAGAAACGGAAAAAGAAGCGATTCGTTTTGTCGAAAACGTCCTCTCCCCTCCCTCTCTCTTTCTCTTCATTTTTATATTCGATGTAAAATTAAAAAAGTTTTCAAGGAAAATTCTCGAAGATTTTATATCGGAAAAATTGAATTTTTCCATTATATTGGATTGATTACGTCTATGCTTGTATTAGTTTAGGATTTCGAATAAGTTTGCCGTAAAAATTACGCAAATCTACGAGTCATCTACGAATGAAATCGTTTATCCGTGAGATTAACATTTACGACAAATTACGATATCGTTGTTTGTTATTAGTGATAAACGGACAAAGCGATCATCGAAGTCGGTTACTTAACATTTTGCTGGAAAAAAAAAAAAAAAAAGAAAAAAATGAAACGAAAGCCAAAGTCTGGACCATGACACGAATATATTTTTCACTATGAAGTTTGTCAGGGACTTGTTCATAAATCATATCCGAAAAAATATTTGCAGTGGTGTGCGACACGCGTTAGCAAAATATCATATATGGCAGCGATGAATGATGGTTTCGATATGCCTGACAAATTAATTCGATGTCTTCGACGCGTAATTTCGAAGATTTTAACGTTTCTTCGATTTTTACGTGTTGGAAGATCGTTCGGCCATGAGTAAATCGCAAAATATTAAAAAAAAAACCTTATGAATTATTACAGCTTGTATTATTAATCGAACGAATCATCGCGCGTGTGAACGTCTTTGAAATAAAAATTTGCATCGTAAATATTGACGGAGATATAATACCGAGATATTAAACGTTACAAAATTATTTACAAGAAAATAAAATGCCAATATTAATTTACATCGATAAAATATATGCTACGTACAATAAACTTGATAATTGTAATTTATTATATTGCGCGTAATATTTACAAGAGAAAAATAAAAAGAAGAAAATAATGGAAAATAGTAAAATGAGGCGAATCGTCACGTCGATGATATAAAAAATTCAAAATATACGAAATTTCGATTCATATTTTCGAAGAAGAAGCTTTTACCTCCGTGAAAACAACGAGGGTGGTTAGCCCGAACGTAACCGAGAAGTTAACGTGATAATCATCTGAATGTTGAAGATTTTCAGGGGCTGAAATACAGATATCACCCACGAAGACAGCCTATCCATTCTCTCGGTTGGATTCTAACCTGAACTTCAGTCAGAAATTAATATTCTGTTTCTACGTGCAGAATTTGCCTACTGTGATAGGACGATCTCAAGGGAAAGCCTCAGGTATTCGGGTGAACTGTATGGAATGGTAAGAATGAAGGAATACTATACGGTCCGATACGCTTATCTTATTCTTCGATTTCCCACGCTTAAATCATTCCATCTCTTATGCCAAAGGAAAAAATTCTCTAAATTTATGAATATTCCTGTTATCGCTGTTAATCTACGATATATATTTAATAAACAATTTTGAAATAATAATACAAACAAAAATGAACCTTGAATATTTATAACATGAAACATTTAATAAATTATTTAAATATTTTAATAATAATTTTCACAGTGATGGATTAAAGTAAGAATTGTTATTAAAATTTTTATAAATATCACTTTCTCCTTATTATATTCATATTTCATTTCTCGCTATAATATTATTACGATAATATACCGAATGAAAGTAGATCCATGTAATAAATATCTACGTATATACAAATATACGTACACCCGGTTTATGAAATACAGACAAGAGAACTTTTCGAGCGATAAACATCGGCATGAGCGATGAAAACATTTTACATATGATATTTTTCTTTGCTGACAAACTGCAAGTAACACGCTTATAACCATTTATGCGTCTATCGTTCCATCTTTCGCTCATTTATCTCTCGCGCTGCATCTTTTCTCACGATAAATAAAATGAAAGTTATAAGATTTAAATTTTTATTGGAAATTTAGTTCGAAAATTGTTGACTCCATAACGGTATCTTTTATACGTATAAACGATAGAAATCTATGCGATCGAACAAGATGCGAGAAGTAGCACTATATCGAATTAGGGAACGAAAATGATTAACGTTGAACGTAGAACGAGCGCAATTTCAAAAAATAAGGAATAAAATGCGAAGAGCAAAGAGAAGATTGGATTAAGCATAACGCGGAGAAACGATACATGCTCGTATATATAAGTTGGGGAATCGGCCCTCTGCCGATTCCTCGGCAAATTACACGGCGTACGAAATTCAATCCAAAATTAAAATCGACTTTAAAGCGCATCTTTTACAATGTATATGTGACTAGGGGGTATCGGCTTAAATTCATCGCGTCCGGTGTCCGAATAAGAAGAGAAAGAGAAACGTAGAAAGCGTAGTGCGTGTCGGCGAAGACGGTATCACGTTTCGTGTGAGCCGATATTTGTTACACGTTCTTATAGAAGATGAAGAAGCGGTCCGTCACGCGGTGGAAAGGCGCAGAGGCGGTGGCACGGGCTCGGGCACGAGCAGAGGAGGAGGAGGAGGAGGAGAAGAGCGCGCGGGCCACGAGCACAGGCATTTCAGGGCCCTATTAACGAGTCGGCCCCCCGCGGCCGACGCAACGGGCCCAATCAACCCAACTCCAATTCCTGGCCCTCGCTTCGACTTGTTTTATGTAATGCCCGCGACGCCAGAATCAATTAGTCGGGGTACCCTCCTATTTTGCGTATGCATGCGCCTATATGCATAGCGGCCAATCCACCCGAAAAGGTTCCCAACTTATTTGCAACTGTCCAAGAGAAGCCGATAGACGAGAAAAACCGGTTCGCGAACAGACGCGTAGAGACGGAAATTAAACGACTCGAAACAAACCGGGGATACCCCTCCGCCGATCTATCTATATCTACGTATCGAATCGTCCATTTTTACCATCGAAATCTATCCTTTATATCGATATCGCAGTATCTCGAGTGAACGCGAAATATATATTTCTTTTTCTTAACATACATAAGATATATCTTCACTCGTTCAAATTTTATTCTATAACGTATTACGAATCTATATTTTAAGTTAATAATAAAGATTTAATCTGAAAAGGAAAAGAAAGGAGAAAGAGAGAGAGAGAGAAATAGTAACTGGAAAGATGAAGAAAAAAATGTCACACTGATTCACATAGATATATCCTCAAAATGGAAGAAAGTTGGGTGAATGCCGCTCTATCGCAGCACGAGTACGATACATCACACAGCGGCAACCAGCATGGGAGCGTACGATCGCACTTTGTTCAGCTACTAGGCAAACAATCACGAGCCGAGCTATTCACGATCCCAAAAGCATTGCCGTGCGTATCGGACGAAAGTGCATACATCAAGCTTGTTTATATCTACGTTGGAGTCAAAACATGCAACAATACAGCAATTTGGCTTTGACCGATACGAGATCTCACAGAGATTCCTTTCCCATCTTACCGTTACCGAATACCGACCATCCACCGATAAACCTTCCTCGTTCCCAATGCCATACCAATGATAGAGATTCGATTTTTACCTCGTCAAACATCGCGTTACGTATACGTCATTTCTATCTGTTATATCTTACGATATAATAATAAATTTCGATTTCAATTTTAATTATTTGAAAGAAATTTTCTTATAATTATTTCTCGTAATATATTATATTAAATTAACGAGATAACTATTCTCATCCATCTTTCTTTCTTATTCCGTTATTTTTATAACGCATAAAAATTGTTTCTATACCATTGGCACGATTTCATGGTGATTCCGTATCTCGGAATGCGTATGTATACCGGCATTGTATCCTCTATATTTCTGGAATTCGATAAGATCTTATCTTACGACCCCCGCGAAGAAGATCTTTGATTTAATACGAAAGAAAGAAGAGAAAAATAATAGTGACGCGATTCCGAGAATACTAACCATACAACAAGTTCGTAAAAACTTTGCAAATCATTTTCTAAACTTATTTTTGGATTAAATACAATGGATTAAAATTAAATTGAAATTTTTATTTTTTGAAACAAAATCGAAAACAAAATCTTAAATCTATAATTCTATTCGATTTATCTTTAAGTCTTTGTACAAATTAAATAATTATATTTATTTTAATCAGTTAATATTAATGCTAATAAATCGATAAAAGATATCTTAAATCATTAGACGTATATAAATCGAATCTCAAAAAATATTTTAATAAAAAAAATTTTCAAAATCACAATAATTTTATTACATTTTCTAAAATGTTATTAATTCATAAACTTGAGAAAACAACAATTTCTTATATAAAAAATAAATTCGAGAAAACTGTATATCTTACATCCAATTTTAAATGTATTATATCGTTTCGTTACAAGACTCACCTCTTTCAATGGCACTTTGAACGGTAGAATTTTTGTACCACTGATCACTGTACCATAAGGTTTATATTCCAACCACCTAATAAGATAGAAATAAGAAATAATAATGAATGAAAATATAAAGAAGACTGGTATAAAATACGGTATAATCCAATTATCATGTTGAGCCGAAAATTTGAGAGATTAGGAAGATCCTAAATATAAAATTTTAACTGTAGATATTTATTAGTTTCTGAAAAATTAATGAAAATCTTTATATTGATTATTACATTGCTATATATTGAATATTATCTATACGTATACGTCCATGATGGAATGTGCGTCAATATACTTATCTACTATTCTATAAAAATATTGTAGTGGCTAATACCCAAAATATATAATTATGAAGATGATATCGCTGAATTATTATAAATTCGCTCATCGTAATTTCGGTCACCCAAGGTTTTATATTTTATTTTCGCATTCGGCGGATCCGAAGAAAATTCTTTATAGATAGATACTGAAGTATAGTAATATTAATTCATTCGTTATACATTTTAAATGACGATTGCCATGATGTGTTTATAGAAACAGTAGATAAACAGTGATCGCATATTGATGCATACACTGTCACGAACGCATAGATTAGAAAGATTATACGCATAGATTATTCAATGTTTAATATCGAAAAATTTTTATTAATTATTATCTCAGAAACTAATAAATATTGCGGTTAAAATTTTATATTTCGAATCCTTTTCTCAATCTTTTTAAAATTTCAATTTAGTACGATAATTGGGTCATATAAAATTTATTTATAAAAAATACACATTACATGAAATATAATATGTATACACGATGCATGCACACGCATGAAATTATGCATGTATACATATACGCATATCTATACACGTGATGCAACAGGTGATGTTAATGAAAAAACGAATTCCACCATGTAAACATTTATTTGAATTCGTTTCTGGTAAATTTAAATAACAAAATACAAAATAATTTAATATTTATAATATTTTCAAAGTTTTATTTTATAAAAAATAATGAAAAATAATATGCATAATATGCATAAAGTTAAATAATATTTGACATCTATTTCTATATTCAAAGAAAAAAGCACCATCTGTGAAATACGATATAAATAAAGAATAATGCGTTTCTCAACCGATAAGTTAGCCGCCATACAAACCGCGTTTGGAAATACATTCAGAAATATTAAATATTTATAATTAATTATGATTACATGGTGCAAAAACCTTAATATCTAAAATAATCTTTTAATCTATGATTAAATAGATTTCTTATATTAATATATAGTTTAGAAAAGAAATATTAAAAACAATGAGATATGTCGGCATAACATAACCTCTATACAATGTGACCTCCGATTAAGACTAGTGAACAAGTAGTTTTAAATATTTCAACGAGCTTAATGAAATGATAAAAAATGAACAATGAATAATACTTACCTTTCAGGTATAGATTTCGGCATATTCGTCGTTTATTTAAATATTATAATGCGAAATTAAAAGCACAACACCGAAACGCAATATCACTAACACAGTACACACACGCAGCAGACAAATGTAGTCGATAGCACTCACGACGCAGAACGATCGATCGATCTCTCGATTTTCGCGCGCGCAACATTGTTACATGAACGATTAATTTCGGATAAATTATTTTTTGATTGCTTTATATATTTTTATTCATATAATATATATAATATAATATATATTATATTATATATATTATATATGTAATATATATTATATATATAATATATATAACATTAAAATATATAAATGAAATTAAATAAAATACTTACTTTAAATTTCTTTTTAATTATTATATATATATGTACATATATAAAGTGTATAGGTTAAATTTTTCAATAAACTTTCCAATAAATATTGGTGTCTGTAATTTTCAATAAAATATTTAATTATATATAATAATATATTTAACTTACATGATATTAATGAGAAATATTATTCATTTTATGATAATCATTTTATAAATATAACTATGATATGACTGTGGGCAAGCAAAAAAGGAAAAAGTTTTTACAAAGAAAAATTTTATTAACTTGTTGGACACTGTATGTCACCATCTTTTTTTGCTTTTAATTGTAATATTTCATTCAACACTTTTCTTTCTAATTCCAGAAGTGCAGGAGGTTTCTTATACTACAAAAAGATAAATATAAGATTTATGTAAAAGTAATGAAAATATAAATATTTGACATACCGTAATAATTAGTGTACTGTATTGATGTGTAAAAGTTATTCTATTCTGTTCTGGTTTTAATCCAGCACGTTCTAAATCTGGAATTCTTATCTTCTTAAAATATTTTTTATTTGTAGTACGAATAGTTATTGTTCCATCATCTTCTGCAGTTACAGAATATACATTTTGCGGATATGGCAAATTTCTTATCCGCCACTCAAGTGAAGTCTTTGTAACTCTTCTTGTAATAAATGGCTATTACAAAAATATAATATACGCATATTAATTATTATTAATTATATTTTGTTTAAAAAAATTAGAAAATATAATATATATATATATCAAATATAAAATATATAATATAATTTTATGAAACAAATTTCACATACAGCAGTTGAACTTTCTTGAATTCCACAAATATCAATATTGTTTTGTTTGGGTTCAGGATCTCCAATTTCAACATTCCAACCTATATCTTGACCAAGTTTACCTTTTTCTTTCCATGCTCTTCGTATTAACACATTAGTTTCCAAATGATATTCTTCTACCATTTCTCTACCATCTTCCATTAAAAAATGAACTTTTCTTTTTCCTAATAAAAGAAAAGAAATATTAATCATAATTAAATATTTATAATACGTTTTAATAATAGTTTTATATAATAAAAACTATCGGATATTAACAATTATCACAATTATATTTTAATTCTAAAGAATAAAATATACATTAAAATAGCATTTTATTAATTAACAAGACAAATAAAAATATATAATTATATGTAAATGTAATTATATTGTGATACCATATATTTTATATTTTTTATATTAATAATTCCATAAAGTCAATATTACACATTTAATATTGAGTGATATACGCATATATGTGTATAATAATTTAATTATGAAAAAAGAAATAATTTATAACACTGACAATGATAAATATAAAAATACAGTTTTAATAAAAAATAAGTAATAATTACATATTGATCAAACATTTTTAAGGTTAAGCTGTATATCGTAAAGTTTTCAGTTCTACGTGAATTTTAAAATAGCTTTCGTTAAAAAAAATTCAATAGTTTGAAATATATTATACATTAAAATATATTTTCGTAAATACCTTACCATCTTGAATTATTGCCGTTTTCGTAGCATTTTGAATAAAATTCAACCATTCTTCAGGCGCCATGGATAAATACTTTATTAGTTTCTTAGCAACTAATTCTAAGTACTTAAACATATATATTTATAGTTGTCATAACAACCACTATTATTTTACTAATTATTATTTATAATATTATATTGAAAACATTATTACATAATAATTTACTTAATTAAATTATATTAATTAATTATGTTTTTTTTTAGTAGTTATTAAATTTTTATCAAAAATTTAATAAGTTTCAAATATTTTATATTTTTCATAATATACATATGTAATACACATTCATAATATATGTATAGAGTTATTAGTTAATTAAATTATTGATAATTAAATTTCATAAAATGTATGAAATCTTAAAAATTTTAATAATATTTTATTAATTCTATTACATTTTTACAAATGTCACTGCATATTTTATAAAATAATATTTTTATCATAAAGATTGAAAAATTTTTATTATTTGTTGTAAAAAAAATTAAAAAGCTTATATTTATGAGATAAAATTTCAGAAATTGTTTTATTAAAAATATTCTTAAATTAGATGTAATAAGAAAAATGCAGTATGAAATTGCTAATTATAAAATTATTATATAATTTATAGTATATAAAAAAAGAATAATATAAAATAATATAAAACAACGAAAAATATTTAATAATATTAAAACATATTTTATTATAAAATATATATAGCTTAAATTTAATGATATAAAATATATAATTTTCGAAATTATTTTTATTGTAAATATATATAAATATTTATGAAATATATGTATAATTGACAGAAGGATATTTATAGTAATAAAATATGGGATAAAGTTAAAAACTGTATGTATATATGTATGTCGATTAAAAATATTATTATATGTCGATCAAGAATATTAATAAAATTATTAACAATTTTATCGAATGGAATCATGTATATATAGTATGTATATATTTTTAATATATTAATTAATGATGTAATTAAGATTCTTTTGTTTGAATAATTATTAAACTATTAATTATGCAAAAAAGATTGTTTGTTTAGAAGATAATTTAAATATTAATATTATGTAGCGGTTATTAACATTTCATTAACATAATAATAGAAATAAGAATTAATATGCATTTAAAATAAAATAAATATTGTATTATAAAAAATATTTATATTTTGCAAATAATCGCAACATATATTTGTTCGAGATATAATAATTCTTTAATAAAAAGATTTTATTTAAAAAAATTATATATTTGCTTATATTATTTTTGTCTTTATTTGTCTATATTCTTTTGTATTGCATCTTTTTATATTATATAATATAATTAAATAATATATTAATATTTATATTATAATATTATTACGTTTGTTAAAATTAAAACACAATTCTTTTAAAAATATTCCATTAGAAAATGTTAGAAGTGTAAAATAATATAAATCTTATTGTAAAATTCAAAGATTAATTTTAAGTTAATTTTAATATTAATAACAATATTACAATTATAATATTTTCTAACATTATTAAATGTTATTAATATTATAAAGCTCATGTTGCATAGATATATCATATATTATGTGCTATATAACTGGTATATAACTTATGCAGTATTTTATAAAAATTGTATTTAATATATCATTATTATATATTATATTATATTAATTATATAAATAAAATTATATTAATTATATAATTATTATATGAATGTAGTGATTTCAATGATAGTTTTATTTTTATTTGCCAATTTTTTGAAAATAATAAAAAAAATGGATAAAAATATCATGCATATATATATTATATTAAAATGTGTAGAGAGTAATTTCCCCAAAGGTTTATTCAGCTTTATTTATACAATATAGAAATTTAATGACATGGGAGATCATAAAATGACAATGCGATCAGATGGAATTAAGGATTTGTATAAATCTGATTTGTTTGTACAATTCGCAAACAGAATAGTTGTAAATTATTCTTTTTTTTTAATTCTTAATAATATTCTTAATGATCTCCACTCGCCAAATACAATATGTAAAGGCAGCCTACACCCATAATATAAATACAATTGTGTATGTAAATATTAATAAAGATTTGACTATTATAAATTGTCGTCGTAAACAGTATCTTTCTCGTTTTAATCTTATAATATATATTTCATTATTATTCTGTATATATATATGTATTTATATATATATATATATGTGAAATGTATATAAATACATATATCTGATATTTATATATGTATAATATTTATAGAAAATTATTCTAATTATATTAATATTAATATTAATATATACATACAAAGACAAATGTGAAATACCTAAACATTATTCGTCCCTTACATTATATAAAAATATGTTATATTTGTTATATTTTCGTTCGTATTTCAAACAATACTATTATTAATATTGTAGCAATACAACACATTGTGTTAAAATTATCCACATAGTCATATTAATTACTACATATCTTTATCACTTTATATTACAATTTATTGTTAATATTTCATTTGAACGGATTGAAATTTAACATTTTTGGAGCAGTTTTCTGTACAGAACATTAAACAGTTCATAGAATAATATATATTATTCGATGTCTCTTTAACATATACCTTTTATTATTTAAATTGTTTTTTTTTATATAATTTATAATTTAAATGCAGATTAACTTTGCATTAAAAATTCCTGATTTTTATCATTGCAAGATATAAATATTTTGTTCATTTGAATGTTTATTTCACATTTCACATCATTTATGTAAATATATTTTATCTCTTCCATATCGAATAATGTATAACACACTTATGACATTTTTTATTTATTTCTTTATCAAAATATGAAAATATTTATAAAGTTTGGCAAGTTAATAATTTTGAAAGTAATTTCATTGAGATAAAAAATTACATTTAATAATTTCTAAATTATATTCAATAATCATGGAATCATTATCAGTTATATGAAATATACTATAATATATTTATAACTGAAATAACTGCGCCGAAATGCATTAAATTTTTTTTTGCAGAAAGGCATTATACTCTATGTATATAATATAATCACGGTGCGTAAAAAACGTACATGTACATACATGTATTCAGAATTAAAATTGTGTGTCTGTGTGTATGTATAAAATAATAAAAGAAAATTACAGAAAAATTATTTTAATTATACTATTGTAATAGTGTTCCCTTGAAGTTGAATAGGAAAAAAGTGACATTTAAAACATTTTATAATATAATTTTTTTTTATAGAAAAAAGATCGACTTATAATTATATTAATCCAAATAATAAATACATATTTTTTTATAT